AGGATGGCGAGGATGGCGAGGATGGCGAGGATGGCGAGGATGGCGAGGATGGCGAGGATGGCGAGGATGACGAGGAGGGAGTGGATGACGAGGAGGGAGTGGATATCTTCGAGGACGCCTTGGAAGACCTTTCCTCTCTGAGTCAACGCGAAGACTTCCAGTCAATAGCTCCAGGAGACGTGACAACATAGAAGAAAAGAGCGTATGCCCTCTTTAGGTCAAGAGTACGTCGCTGGTTTCAGGTTTAGTCGCCAGGATAAAGGTCTAATGCGCAGTTTCTAGGCTAGTCAGTAGCTAATAGAATGAGTGCGGAGAGACTAAGGTTATAAGGCGGTACTACTTCGAGCGCTCCAACTTGTTTGTCAGTGGCGAGAATGGCAGGGTGTTTGTTATTTCAAATCTATCTTTCCTATTAGTTGCGGCTAAGAATCCCCACCGTGCCTCCTCCAATAGCTATGATTTCAATTTGTCTCGCAAGCTGTGCCATCGATATCAAGCCAAGATTTTCAACATCCTCTGCACATGAGCTAGACGCATCGATAACTCTATGCGCCAGGCAACAAAATGATCGGCCTGCTTCACGATGTCCTACCTGGTTGCGAATGACTGCAGCCTCCGCCTGGGTGCGCGCCTCTTCCTCACTAATGTCGACCTTCCTTTTCAAGCCAACCTAGAAGTTCCTCCATATGGCGAATCGATTGTCGGTATCCAGGTTGGGATACTCCAAATACATATCATCTATCCGTGAAAGGAATACTCCGTCAATTTCTTGGCATTGGTTTTTGGTGCGGAATCGTACGCCCTCGTAGTACTCCATCGTTCGGAGAAGGACTGATATGTGAGCCGTATTGCGCTGTCAGGTCACAGCGCGAACTACCCGTAGACCAATTGGTTCCGCCTTATATCATGGATTGTACGTTGCTCAAGGAACTCATCGGCTTCCCCAAGGAGCAGAACGGCATTATACCGCCTTGCAACATCGAGCGCTGTTTCTGTTTGTAGTTTCCGCTCAACGGTATCGACGTCGATCGCCGGCACTGACTGGATAGAGATGGGTCTGGAGCTTCTCTGCTACTGATGACAAGGATCAACCGGCATACATGGCAGGGCAAATTTGCGGAATAGCGCACCTCCCTCTACTGTCAAGGTCTTCCCAACGCCGGGTGGCCCACACAGGAAGGGGGTTAGCGGGCGGCCTTTGCTCTTACCAAAGTCGTTCAGATCGTGCATTTCCTGTAACATTCGACGGAACCTACGGTTAGGTCCTTCTAATCCTCCGGCAGGACTAGGTTGTCAAAAAAATTGTCCCGCTACACCACGTCTTCGATTTGATTCACCGGAAATGATGCTGGATTTTAATGCGAAATGTACGAGAGCCCAATGCATCCGCCTCACCCGAGTCGTACTTTTCTTTCCGCTTCTAGAAGGATCTCGCCTGCCTCACAGTGACGGGGATCTGGGTTGACATTGTTTCATTGGCAGTGACAGCCTGTCACCCTGGGGATAGTGTGGAGATCGTTCTGGAAGAGTGGTAATCAACAGGGCTTGAACGCGGTGCTCCAAATGTACACGCGGAGTATGTATTCGGCGCCATCATGTCGGAAGTATTATGGAGAGCCATTCTCGCCAACATATGGCGCGCGGGAGGGTGGTCATACTCAATCTCCATCGTGAACAACCAGAGCCGATTTGGATCCTTCCCCCCAAGAATATCTGAGCAATAGAGCAGGCTTCGGCGCAAGTTTGCGAGACAGCGGGACGGAAGGTGGTCTGTGTTCGGCGGAAGCTCTTTCGGACATCATCGAGCCTACTCGGCCTTGGACCTGGACCGGTAAGAGAGGGTGATATTGTGACCGTCCTTTCTGGATAACGTTTTCCGTTGTTCTGCTTCCAGTCAATTTCGGGCCATGGCGCATAGTTGGTGATAGGTCAGTAGCCCACATTTATCATATTCGTGCATCCTGACTGCTTTAGCTACGTCCACGGTATCAGGCCGGGAGAACCCGCTCGCGACCAGCGCGGGCGTAAGATAGGAGCGTTGGGATTGATCTGCACTGATAAAGTTGGACGTACCTCATACACATCTACCGGATCCCAAAAACTTCAACACAGTCATCCCTGATGTCATATGAGACTCCGCCGTTGAGAATGCCGGGAATGTTTGCGGTGCCAACGAATTGGTAGAAGTCGGCTTTAGGGCGCAAGATCGAAGGCACTTTGGCCCTGTTGAAGATTACGACAATGTCGCCGTCTTGCATTGCTTCTGGCCCGAGGCCAATATAGTTGCCTGAAGTGAGGAAGAGTTTACGGCCTCTCCATATTCTTTCCGGTCTACGCATTGTGTGGCGGCTGATCTCCTCCACCCAGTTTCGCTCGGAACATAACTCCAGACTCCTCGCTATCGACTGTAGCATCGTTTCTTCTGGGCTGGGATCTTTGATGCCATCAGGTGGATGCATAAATGCATATTCCGCTAGGAAACTCGCTGCAGCTCGCTGACTGTAGTAGGAAGCCCGTTGACTGGAATCGCCCGTGTATAGTTTTGCCCGGTCGTCCATGACTGCTTCGCAAAACAGCATGTTAGGATGAGGTGGTGTGAGTGGCTGGACGTTTTGCATCCAGAATTGGGCCAAGCAGTCCAAATCCACCAAGTTGCCGTGTGAGGTAGATGTAACAGTACTGAAACGAACTCCATGGACTACGAGGCTATCCGCGGCGTGACCGATAGACGGCGGGACTGATCGCGATATCCTCATGCTAGGCATGTCAAGGTAAAAGTCGACAGCCGGTGAATTGTTCCACGATGGTACCCATGACGGAAGTGCCTCGGGGGAATCATCAACGATTGGTCCATGATGTACGGCGTTCAGTATTTCAGAAAGTGCACCATGGCGGACGAAGGCGGAAGCCAATTCCAGATATACGTCGGCTGCCGTTTTATCGTAATCGGGCTCAATCTCGTCGACGATGTGATTTAAGTCACTTCCGCTGGGATATGGTAGACCAAGGATAGCAAAGACTTTGTCTCTGGGATCAGAACATTTCAGGTTCCTAGTCCACTTCAACACGTCCAGGAAATTCAAGTGCAAGTGCACAGGGGCGATCGAAAAACATGGGAATAAACGGACGACCCAGGAAGTGCGACTTTGCGATATATGGCGTGAATACTCCAAGGCCGTGTAGGACAGTTCTCTGAAGTCGATCTGCTCATTGCCCCAAAGAGCAATGGCTTCTTGCGCCAGGACCACCTCTTGGACCACCCATAGGCGCTCGAACCACTCGCATCCGAATAGTTCAAGAAGAAGCCGTATTGCAGTCTCTGCTACTGAATCTGAAATCTTCCAAGCGGTGGCTCCGAACCTGAAAGCTTCGCTGATGTATGCGAATGCGTCCTTAGCATAAACTTTGGGATCCGGACCTAACCACACAATGACGCGCTTGGACGCAGAGTATATACTCTTCATAAGCTTAACCTGGTGTCCCCGTTCTTGAATATCGCTCTGATTGATACACACGCCGTCCGCCCAGACGTATCGCGTTTGATCAGGTCGTCGAAGTCGTTTAAGTGCCACCTCCAGATTTGGCGTTAGGAGTATTATGCCATCGGTAGTTGTCAGGCAGCGTTCGTACTTTGGCTTCCCCCAGACATAGGACAGGGCCTCGTATGATAGTGGGTCCGGTGAGTCAAGATCGAAGTGCCCCAGTTCGCCTCTTAAAGGCTCGGCTTCTCTCCCTGGGTGAAGGTGTAGTACTCTGAAGGTCGTCGAGCGCTCTAGGGCACGATAGCGAAATACGTTGTGGGTATTGCGTTCGATTCCGGGAATGGGTGCGGCCTCTTGGTACTCAGCCTCGCCCATGTCTGAAAACTGTTCCGCTCTTCGATGCTTGGTGCCGTCGAGAGATTAAGACTTCTGCCGTGAGAAATGTCTCTTTGTTCCGTGTGTGAGATGCGCCGTCTGATGCGGGGAGCGTAGACGTGTTGCGCTGTGGCATGCTGTTGATATGATTGCCGTGGCGGGGCAGTGCAAGCTCTCAAGGGCCTCAGCCTCACGCGCCATGAGGTGCGGTTGCGAGTGGCGAACACTCAGCGGCCTACACACGCGTGACAAACAGAGTGGTATCCGATAGGAAGATGCCTGATGCTTGTGCTGTGGTACCGTGCGATATCCGGGCGTTGTCGCAGGTCTGGAGGCTCAGCGTGAGTTCGTGCCTATCCCGCATTGGGACTAGAGCGGCGCTTTCTGAGGCGCGGCCCGTGCATTCCGCACTCAGTTGTTGTCGACACTCCCTCCTCCCCAATCTCAAGACAGCCTATTTCCATCAATCTTGGTAACAAATACACTTCTCCCCGGGGAGCATACTTGCGGAGATCCTGCGCCGCGATAGCCGCGCCCACCAAGCTCTTGCGAAGGTCGCTCTCCCCTCTCTCAACCACACGCCAGTGCAATAGCGCGACAGTCTATTTGTTTTACTGCGACCTCTCATATGCACATCCCAGAGTGCGTGTGAGGCCCGTCTGTCCGACTGCAGGTGCAAGAGCGCAACACTTGTCCGAAGCGAAAGTGGATTTTCGTAGCCCAAGCCCGGGCAACCCCCGCTTGAAGACGCGCACACCATCGCCGCCACAACCTAGAAAAAAGCTTCGGTATCTCTGCGTAGAACGTCCGCAGACATGTATGGTTAGTCAACTTCGCAATAACACTCATGTCATGCTCAAACTTTCCACGAAGCGCTTGGGGAAAGTTCATCCGATCCACCGCGTAGCGCGCCACATGGGTCAAAGCGAGAACGATCATATCGAGAGTCAAGAGATGGCACGCCAGAGCCATCAACCCCACGGCAGCACCAAGAGCCGCATGCAGGTCGCGGACCTCGTCGTCGGGCATCCCGTACACCATCGAAGCCCAAACCGCGCGGTAGGCATCTAGATCACACGGCCACCACGCTTGACAATATACGTTTCCCTCTCTCTAGCACAGCGCGGGACGGGATCGAGATGGGCGACGCTTCCTCTAAGAACCATGGGTGCGGGCCTCCCTTTACGAACACAGACACTGCCGCCCTGAAAGCTAGTATTGAGCTAGAGACGAAGCAAATCGGCATTGAAGCTGAGAGCGAGAGCGAAAGCGATGAAATGGAACTGGTCGTAGTGGAGACAGACGAGCTTGGGTCTGAGGCAGCGGAGGCCGCTGTATCAGCCGCAGCCAGTGTTGCTCCCATTGCGGGGAAGGAAAACGTCCTATCTCCACGGATGCTTGCGAAGAAGAACAGAAAAATGGAACGGATCCAGCGGACCATATCTAAACACACGGGCGAAATTCTACACACCATTTCCGCCGACTCACTCACTCCCGTCGCGGCGAACATCGCATGGGACCAGGCGCCCGAGCTCATATGCTGTTACAACTGGCAGGACTCTGCCGATGGCACCAACGCCATCTTCGTCCCCGGCGAACCGCCAAAGTGGGCTCCTCGCTCCCTGCCGCACACCCTCCCTCTGGACGACGGCTGGAAATACACCGACTACAACTACGCGCGTCAACCCCGGGACCCTTACGCGCCTATGTTCCACGCCCTCGGCGCCATGAATCCCAGCGTCCAGTTTATGGACGTCGACGTGATAGCCGACCGCAACAACCTGCGAACGCTTCTCGAGTTCGTGCAGGGGAAATACACTAGCCCGTTTCGACTCGATCTGTACTCTGTTTTCAACACGCTTATCCTCGTGCGCAAGGAAACCGGCTTCTGGAAGCGCGCCGACGGGATTGGATTAGGTGCCAATTTTGAAAAAGCATTCACCCGCCCAGCGTCAGGCATGGAAAACGCGACTAGCCACTACCGCGCGATCCGCTATCGGATGGTCCACTCAATGTAGTATGCCGTTTCGAGGCCGACGCGCAGTATACCGAGCTCCCAGAAGCCGATAAGCTTACCCCTGTCGAAGCCGCCGCCGCCACCGGCGGCACACTCGCCAAAGACCAGCCACCATTCTTCGACTATCGCGCCCCTATCCGCGTACTCCAAAAGGGCCATATCGCTCCCATGTCCGCCATGGCCGAGCTGAAAACCACCGTGTTCAAAATCGACAAATCCATGAATGTGTCATGCATGGACCAGCTCTGGTTCGGCCGCACCACGCATCTACTTACCGGGCAGTACGAGCCTAGCACGGGTACCGTGCTCAATGTCGAATACCGCGACAAGAGAGAAAACATCAAGAAGTGGGAAGAGGGCCAGCAAGAATATCTGCGCAAACTGGTAAATCTGCTCATCATGTTGAAGAGTATGCTAAGTGCAGAGAGGGGTCCTTTGAGAGCGCTGGTCTTGGTAAGAGAGGAGAAGGATGGCCCGCTTCGTATACGCGAGATGCAAGAGAAGCACTATGTGGTGTCAAGGGAATTCTTTAGCCGACATTGGCAGCGTCCCATGCCGCAGCAGTATGGCCGTGGCCGGGGGCAGTGGGGTGGTGGGCGTGGGCCGGGTCAGTTTAATGCTGATCGTGGTCGCGGGCATTTCGATGCTGGACGCGGTCGTGGTGATTTCAATCCCGGACGTAGTCGCGGATTTGCGGGAAGGGCTTCGCGTGGCTTTCCAGCTAGATCTACTCCCCATTAGACGGCTCCGCAAACGCATTTCGGATCCATTCGTTGAGCCTCCTTCTGTTTTCGCATTGCTACATTGTACTATCTTGGGAATCGAGATTAATTGGACTAAGTCTACTCTACCCATATCCTCAATCACCCAACCCGGGGATTCTGAATCTCCCCTCGTGGCTCCGGGACGACAAGCTCTGGAACACACACACAATATGGTCTGTGCTATGAATGATGGTGAGGTCGTTTGAACCTTTCAACCCTTTCTTCGCCACTCTCTTCTCCTACGCCTGCCATGCGATGAACGCGGCTCATAAAGCTTATGTCGCCGCCCTCTCTCATTGCCCTCCTTCGTCGGGTAATTCCGTCCTCCCGCGTCTGCTCTATGCTTCGACACGTCCGCCGCCTGTTCGGTCTCCAGTTGTTTCTCTGGCTTCTTTCTCTCAGGTCCTTTGCTCATGGTTACCCCGAGGTCTCTGATTGCCCAAAAATGTGAGTCGCTCTCTCGCCCGCGAGCAATGACTTCCGGGGGCTCCCCTCTGCGCACCAGTTCCGCACTCCAGTAGGTTTTAGCTGTAACAAATATTTCTAGATCGTCCCCTTTGGGATGCCTTACGTCCTTCGGATGGAGAGACTCGGCTAGGCCTAAAATGGATCAGAAGAGTCCTTCAAAGCTCCAAGTGCAGTACAACGAAAACAAACTTACGCTTCAATTTGACGCTTTCAACGTCGGCGCACATTTCGTCGACCTTCGCGTCTAGCGCGTACAGGGCATATATAACTGCAGGATGCCACTTTGTCCAGTCCACAACGGTAACGGCGTCCCTTGGAGGAGTATCCGAAGTATACACTACCGTAACCTCCAAGTTTATTCGAGGATCATCCGAAGCATACACTCTCTTAACCTCCTTGGCCCTTTGAGGATTATCCAAAGCATACACTATTCTAACCTTCCAGCCATCTTGCTCTGGGCGGTAGCCAACCCGCAACCGTTCGTATTTGTATTCTTCCGGCAAAGCGAGCAGCTTATCTAGAGTGTGGTTAGCGGAAGAATATGTAGTAATCATTGACCTTACTTTTCATGCTCTTTATGAGCCTTTCCTCCTGGAGAATTCGCTCTCGATCGGACATCTTTCCGCGCTTGGTGCGTGAGGATTGAATGCAAGAGGACTGACTAGTAGTGCGGGATAGTGAAGAAAGGACGCTCGGAACGAATCGTAGGAATAACCGTATCCGTGCCTTGAAATGCGTCTATTGTTCGGTTGAGGACGTTGCTATCTCGAAAGCGGAAATGATCGAACGGTGATTGCAGAATGTAGAATACATGAAGAATGCAGGCGCATTCGCAAACTTTAATATACCTAGTCAGCTTGGCCCATACCTGGTCATACATGGCGAACGCACCTACGTTCTGTCATTCGCAGCATCGCGTGACTCCACGCAACCTCGCGAAGTCGCGTCCTCACAACTCTCCGAATCCGATCATACCTAGGTATGTGCATCCTATTAATGGAGGTGTTCCTGCAAAAAGGAAGTAAAATAAAAGCTATGCTTAATGCGTCATACTGCAACAGTAAATATCAGAAAATGATTCTCAACCCCGGCTTTTCATTGCACGACACAAATGAAGGTCGGAGGGGTAATAGGAGTCACGATGCGTGGATGACTCCGTCGCCCGCGCCGGGTCCAACGGGTGTTGACTGGATGACTCATACGACCCTCACCGAGAATGACATCCGCAAACCAACGCATAGCGAAGAGTTTGCCGATCGCCTCAAAGGTCTAACACGGCAGACATAAATGCGTGCGCATGTAGAATTGTGGTTGTCGTGGGAAGGCTACCGCACCTAACATCGACCCCTTCCAACGACGCCGTAACAACGCCACTGCTTCGGTAATTTGGCGCAAACTCCCAGGGTCCAGGGAGACCATTTCCGTCAATCCTCTTTTCATGAATATCAACAATCCACGAAGTCTTTCGCGTTCCCGCCAGAAGTCGGGAATCACTCGAGATCGCCGATGGAGGTTTTCAGGACAGGCGCTCGGGAGAAGTGGAGAGAAGATCGCATCGAAACCGGCGGACACCGTTGTGTAAATCCGCAATAGGGAACGCGAATACCGTCTGAATGGCTGGGTGGTACCGCGGGGCCTCGGTGCTGCCATGTGGCACGGCATGATGCGGCGTACATTAATATACGGGAAACCGGCGGTAAGGGAAACCCCTTGGTTTATGGAGCACAAATGGCGCTTCACCAGCGGCACAGCCGGTAAAAGGACACTGAACTCGCAAGTGTAGAAGCCCGGGAGGATGACGTGGTACTATTCGTACCCGGGTATCATACGCCGGCCAAAGGAGATCGATGTATCTTGGTTAGGATCCGGTTTCCGGTTGTAATGGCGTATTGCGCTTTCGTTTTGATTGTCTCGTTTGGAGTCGCCAACCTACAGAGGTTATGCTGACTATGGCCTCTATTGCTCCATCAACAAGACCATGTCTGCGAAAGAGACACCTCGGCAGCCATGCTTCACTTCGTACGTTTTCCGAGATGCTCTCTCTAACTTCGGAATATTACCTCCTACATGCAATGGGCATGTAGCCACGCCGTAAATCAGAGTCCGCTCCAGGTAGGGTCAAACCCGAGAACTATGCAGGCCCGATTGACGGAACTTCGGCTGCATCCTCAATAGTAGGGAGTACGTATCATCACGTACCTCTCGGTCCTTCATATATAACCAGCTTCTTGAGCAAAGCCTATGGAGCTCTACATCGCATCTCCCCTCGGATCTATATTCGTTGCGTTTTCCTCTTTTTGATTCGTTCTAACTGAGTACTGCTCAAGGGGGGGTCGGGCCTCACCTAATCCTTGGACATGCGGGCGGCCGGTCTGTTCGCTACTATTGCTCTTTTCGGCGGAAGCAGGATAGTAGCGGAAGCAATCCATTGTTACAACCACCCACTCGAAGGAACTCCTAGCGCAGACATTGCTACGACGCCGGATGAGGCTCTTAAGAGTTCCATTACCACGCTATGCTATCAAGCCTTCGAACCATGGCATGAAGAAACTCTCCAGTATCAGTCTGGCAACATGACGTTGCATATCACTCCGGAAGAAGGGTATGTGCTTGGGACTTGCTTGGCCATATTTGATGCTATCATCGCGGAATGCATCCTCAAGGAGAGGGTCAGTCGTGGCGAGGCCGAACTTGATGGAGTTGTCTACCAAGTATACGACTCGCGCATTACTGATTAGGATCGCTTACATGCTCGACTCGCCAAAAAAAAGCGCTCAACGAAGATTACTATGAGTCCAACGGAGAAAAGGTAGGCTAATTTCTTGAAGTGGTAAACCCATCATCAGAGCTCGAGACGCGAGGGAAAGCCAAACCCAAGCCTAAGCCCAAGCCACAGCCCAAACCAAAGCCAAAGCCGGTTGCACCAAAGCCGAAACCCAAGCCTAGCGTCAATCTATCCAAGCCAAAGCCCAGCCCGAAACCGTCCAAACCTGTTGCGCCTAAGCCAAAGCCAACAAGAGCTTCTGCTGGACAGCCGTCGCCTAAGCCCTCTCCAAGCAAGAAAACAAGCACAACAAAGTCGCTACCTACACAGACTTGCAAACATATACTCCAGTTAGTTAGGAAGAGTAATAAGAAAGAAAGGCGCGAGATTGAAGGTCCGTTGTCTGAGCGCGATGGGTTCGTTGGAAGTCTCGTTCAAAGGGGGATTAGAGATGATTGGAAAAGGACACAGAAAAAGGGAAAATCTTGTGGACAAGTGTTTAATGCACTTCAGTACCCTGAGCATGACCACCCAGCCATGGTATGGAGTTTTGAATAGGCCCCATCCCACCCCGCAAGGTTGCTAACGCATGCTTATACAGTCACGGCCTGGTGTCCGATGGTACGGGTTTCGAGATCCACAGCAGTATAGAAACATGCAATGGGGATCTGGTCCCGCTCTGAAGAAACCTACAGCTGCTAATTATGAAGTGGAGCATATACTTGAGTGGCAACTTGTCACTGGCTTTTTTGACTGGTTGTCAAACACGCATTTCGGCGGCCAAACCTTCCCCAACCCTGAGCCACTCTCAGCTTCGAGAATCGATTTCTGCCAGTACTGGCTGAAATTCTGGGACTACCGGTTCCCAATTGGTCAGCATACTCGTAACGCGGAGGAACACATCCAGCACGCGTTTCCATATAAGAACGGCCCGTACGAAAACGAGTTTGTATGGCTTGATGCTGACATCAACGCGCCGGCAAAGGCGGAGGTAAGAAGTTTCTCCAATAGCCTGCCTGTAAGCTGGAACTCGCTAACACTCACAGATGTGGAAGGAGAAGTCAAGACCGGGTATTTACGGGAAAGCTGGACTCAACGGCCAAATTAAGCGCGTTGACAAGGCCCAAACGGCAGCACTTAGGCTCAAGTGGCTTATGGGGGCCCGAAAGTATCTGAGAGATCCTACTATCGAGAAATATTTTAGCCTTCAGGAGTGGCGAATCGGAGAAATACTGGATGGAATTGACACGGCGCTGCCACATTATCCAAGGGCGGCGAATTTTGGTGTTTGGCAACGGCGGGGACTTAAGAGCCTGTGGGACCAATACATGGATCAGAAATTTGCAACTGCAGTTTCCCGGACGATGCACACTATGGACACAAACCTTAAGGAACTAGAGCGCCGATATGTTCCAGGCAGAAGATCAAACCAACCGGCTCACGGCACGTTGGAATACGTCGTCATGGTAACGGTCAAAGCACTTTCCACGGAATGGAGAAAGGAGAAGCGCTCAAAATGGGAGGCCCCCTGGGTGAAGAAGCCAATTGGTCCCGGTGGAACGTTCCAGCAACCAGAAGAAGTGCTTCCCGGGCCTGACTTCCCTTAGGCAAGTATCTTCCAGCATGGAAGCTCACCCCTCCCCGCCGCCTCTCCTATGACCTTTTTCAGCGATGTTTCCTCCTTACCACTTCTCAGTGCCTGTTCCTCTTCTTGCAGTATCTTTTCTCTTCCTTTTCTCATACTTTCCGGCGAATGCCCGTAGATGTCTATCCTGTCTTTCCTCTTTCGTTGTCTAGGTCTCAATGTATCTCTCAGTTTTGGATCGGTCGATAGCGCTTGCGTCAATGATAGATCGAGCCAATGGGGCAGGCTAGTTACCTGGACGAACACAAAATGGTATAATGACCGGCGAACCCGAGCTAAGCCCCAGAAATCTCCAATCCAATTTGCCCCCGTGTACTGCGTAAATTTGTGAATGTTCTTTAAGCTAATTAACGACACTAGGGCACGTTATAGAAAGGTATTCCATCCGCGCTAATTGATTACACTACTCTCATTGAGAATCAGTCTGACCCGAATCCAGTTAGGCCTCGGAGGTATTTGCGCCCATCCGTTCCTCAAACGCCTCGAAGACGTATTGCTCCACCAAGCCGCGACCATATTGGTCATCATCCCAGTGCTCCTTGAGACCTTCTCCATGCTCATGGAGACCGATCCGTCGGAAAAGATCATGTAACTCAAAATCTGGTTCCCACCTATTGCCCACCATCCACCATATTTGGCGGACTTGACAGTGATTATTTTTCTCGTACATAGTGAGCGCCTCTTCTCCTGGCCTCGCGTACGCTATTCCCCACGCTAGATCTCGATCAGGGTACTTTGCCAAATCACTGCCATCGTAGTCCTCATAAAAGGCGGATACATCCTTAGCCGACAACTTGAGCGGGGACCACAGAGCAGCATTTCTTAGCGAAGGCATGCCGTACGCTGCTGCCTTGGCGAATGCAGTAAGAAGCGGGACAAGCGGTGTTTCATTGGGCAGCAGGCGATACTGAGCAAGCTCCGTTTCGTCCCATTTGATGTAATCGTAACGGTCATCCATCTCTTCATCTTCAGTGGTTTGCGTTAAAGGCGGGTAATGGTCATCAGTAACTTCGAAGCCTCCCACCGCACCCTCGTTGAAAAGCCCCCTGAAGTACCACTTGCCGGACGGTGTAGCTGTGTGAAACATGACGCTGAGGCTCTCCAGCCTGGGCCAAACAGGTGGGGCTGAGGTCTTCCCGCTGGGCCAGAACAGCGTTTCGTCGGCCATTACCCGAAGGGTCATTCGCCGAAGCGGATACGAAAGCGCACGCAAACTGGCGCTGAAGGGATCATGTTGTGAAGGCATGACAAGATTTGGCATAGCCTGGCGTTGATCAAGGTACATAGAAAACCCTAACGGATTCATGAAATCGAGATCGACATATCGTAGCGATGGCAGTGTAATGGAGTCCATTGTTCTGGCAAAGTCGCGTCGTGAATCCCGGCGGGGTCCTTCCCAATCATGCGTGAAGTGTCTGCCAGGGTTGTCGCAAAGATCAGAGGGCCACTCGTCACCACCGACTCTGCACTTGAGTCGCTCCAGGTTGGGGAATTTTTGGGTTAGGCCCAGAAGAATACGCAGATCCATCTTCCGCACCGACGGGTGCTGGCGATAGCCATTAAGAGGATTAAGATTCGCTCCATTCTTGATCTTGAGAGAGCGCACCGACATGATTTCTGGCAACGTCGCCGGGGATAGTAGATGGACGCGCCAGCTGATGTACGTGTGGTGCCAGCAGTAGCAGTTCTGGTCCACGACTCTTGTCGGCGTATATATCGTGAGCTGGATACTTTTCACGGCGTGGCCTTGCGTGCTGGTTGCGCAACCTTCTAGTGCTGCCAGCGTTGAGAACAATAGATAGATCTGGTTGGTGAAGTGCTGGTCCATGCGCTTGAGATCGTCTAAGCTGTATCGACAAGAGGGCATGTCGTCAAATACGTTCATGGTTTTCTCGTCCCAGTGAAGCGAGGGAAAGCTTGTTCTGAATTTGATACATCGCAGGTACTGAAAGCGGCGTCCGGAATAGAGGTTGAGGAACCGGGCTGCCGATTCAGGGTTTGCGGTTATAGTAGGCTTCGCAAATGCCCCAGATTGCTCTTCTGCAGCAAGTTGAAATTTCCGGGATACAAACAGCGTGCGCTTCAGGTCTTCGTACTGAAGGTAGCTGCTGATGCGATCGATCAGCTCCTGTGGCACTTTGTTCATTTCGTACACGTGAATGGGCCCTTGGATGCGTGGGTCGACGTATGTAATTTGCAGCGCAATGCGATGGAACTGAAAGGCTGACCAAGGGGGTTTTCGTGCGGGGGTGAGAGAGTGTGTGTGGAAGGAGAAGGTGGCGTAGTCGGAACCTTGGAACCGAGGCGGGGGTCTCGCTTTTGGGGGCCAGACTATCGCCCGAAACGTACCATTACGCCCCAGGGATGCACAGCCACATAACCCTGCTAGCATCTTCCTCCATAATCCTTATAAGCCGCTTGGCTCGTCCTGCTTACTGCTACGCTATTTTAGCCAAAAAGTCTTTCTTCTCTCGATGCCCATCCGTAGATTGGTGAAACGTCCACTACATTACAATGTCAATCGCAAGCACCGACAACGCTAGCCTCAAAGCTGCACCTCAAGTGAAGCTGGACCTAGAGAGTACAGAATCAGCTGTGACCGATTCTTACTCCATGTTCAATAGCTCACTTGCAATGCGTCATCGAACCGCGAGAACGCAACCCTTCTCGACCCTGCAAGGCCGTCGCGCTTTTCCGTTCCCGAAGCCAACAACGGGGCACATCTGCACGCGATGCGAACACATACCCTTAGAGATATTCCAGATCGGGTCGAATTTCTTTTCCGAAAGGTGTAAGGGTCGCCACCTTGAGGAGCGCAACTGCAAGGGGAATCATCTAATTCACTGCGATCACTGCGGCGAGCAAATCCAAGAGCCGTTCTACCATTGCGGCGTGTGCAAAAACGGGGACTATGACGTTTGCGGGAAATGCAAGTCGGAGGGCAAGCGTTGTCACGAGAAAGAACACAGATTGGCGAAACGGGTCTTCGACAACGGCATCATCCGGGAAGTAGACGAGGAGGACGAGTCGTATCACCACCCCGGCATAACGCAAGATATGATCCGCCACGGTATGGAGCCCTACCGCTTGCATAGGGCCTTGAGCGACCTCTTGGCCTCCTCCGAGTCTGGTTGCCACTCTTGTTCCGTATTGGTCGGTCGATTGGACCAGGAGTTCATTGAGAAGACGCCCAAGGACACTCCGGTCTTCATCGAGAACAGGCCGTTTGTTGTCCCGGAGAATATTCGCTTCGCGAAATTTATGACACAAAAGATGCTTACAGAACCAGATCTCGACGATGAAGCGGACGAAGGCCTGCCCGTTACAATGGTCGCAGTTCGCACCGAGAGAGACTCCGAGCAGCCTCAGTTCGTAGACCCGAAGAGAGATCATATTGTTCGATGGCTGCCTTTTGAGCTGCGAGGGACTGACCGCGTTTCGCACTCGAGGCATGCCGGCTGGATCACCGGAACAGGTACGGTGCTCCCAGTGAACGCCTTCCAATACTAATAGGCAACCAGAGCGCCGTCAAATCTCGCCAACCGTCGACGCGAAAGGAAACCTCAAGGTCATCGGTAACTGGCTCTCGTCGTGCCTGAAGAGAGAGTCCGAATGCTCAAACTGGCCCAAGGAACCATTCAAGCCTACAAGGCTAATAGATGTCGGCTCTGGCGAGAGCAGAAACGACACCTTGCGTCTGGTTCGAGGAGCTGACATCGAGGAGGCTTTTCCTGGCCATGTTTCGCTTAGCTACTGTTGGGGCTCGACTGGACAGCACATCCGCTGGATCACGACTAGAGAACGGCTCCCGGAATTTGAGAAAGTGATACCTCATGAGGTATTACCTAAGACGATTGCCGACGCGGTGAAGGTGGTACGCGAGATCGGAATTCGTTATCTCTGTAAGCCAAGCCCCCAGTACGAATACCGGCCGAGGAGACATATGCTAAAGGTACCTTTAGGGGTTGATAGTCTGTGCATAGTACAAGACGATCCTGATGACTGGGCGTACGAGGCCTATCGTATGGCTCAAGTCTATAATAGCTCACTCTTCACTGTCATCTCCGGCTCGGACAGTGCCATGGGGGGTTTATTCCTCCCTCGCGAGCAACTCAAAGTCAGCGCAGCAGATATTCTGCTCCAGTCGAATCCCGAAGCAGGAGAACACGTCGCTACGCTGTATCCATCCGTCCAGGATATTGGCACTGCCCACCACGGTGGACCAACAACGAGAAGAGCTTGGTGCTATCAGGAGGAGCTGCTTTCCCCGAGGAGATTGTACTTTACGAACCGCCAGTTTGTTTGGGAATGTTTGTGCTCGAGCCACGATGAGACGGGCAGCCGAAGCCCTGGCGACACACGCTCCACCAAATACTGTCCGCCACCGTATGATGCAGATGTGCTTCTGCGAAACACGAGAGTCGTCGGAGAATGGCATTCAGTGATAGAAGAGTACACCTCACGCCAGCTCACCTACCATAGCGACGTCTTTGCCGCGTTAGCCGGCGTTGCAGCGTCTCTCAAGGCGCGCTACCGATGCAAGTACCTGGCTGGTATGTGGGAGGATGACATGCTCAATGGTCTCCTCTGGCAGAGGGCTGGGACTTCACTTGGCCGTTCCGCGGAGCTCAACACACCCAGCTGGTCCTGGCTGAGTGTGCAGGGCCAAGTTATGTTTACGAGGGGCACTCGCACACCATCAAGGCCGGACGCCGAATATTTGGACTGCGCCGTAACGACGAAAGACTGCGACGAGTTCGGGACGCTAACTTCAGGAACGTTGCGTCTGCGGGCGCGCCTTTTATCCTGCGAGGTCGTCCAAAATACCGGAGGCGGGGAACATGGGAGGTTCGAAAACATCTATCAGCCGCTGCCCGAACACCTCACCCCAATTCCGCGCCGCAAGCATGCAATCGCAGACGGCCACGAAGATCAGGCCAATAGCCATGGAGGGGCGGCTAGCGGAGAGGAGGGGGCGAGCGAGGACGAACCGACGTACTCTCTGAGGAGCCAAGCATGGGAAAGCGAGCGTCCTTTTAGACTCCCCCCACCAGGCGGAAGGCTGGACATGACAGCGAGTCTGAAGACGCGAGGACCTGATGGTTTCTCATTTGCGACTGTGTTCTTCGACGGAGAGCCGCAGGCGAAAGCATCGGAGTTCTTGTGCGCTTACATCGCCATGACGGACCGGCCTGAAGATATCGTCGACCGGAATGGAATCGCGATTGTGCCTGTGCCGAGTAGGCACGAGTCGTTAACGTACAAGCGGATCGGATTCGTCGCCTTCTGGGATAAACTTATACAGGATAATCTTCGCTTTCTTTACGACAAGAAGAAAACAGAGTTTATCTTAGTCTAACGTACTTTATTATCGAACCGCCTACAATTTCTTGGCAAGAAAAATTAACAAAAATTAACCTATAACGTACTTTATTATTAAACTCTCTATATTACTAAACTCTCTAAAAATACTAAGTCTCTACTAAAAAGCTACTATCTTATTTAGATTATATAAGAGCTAGGTTTATAGTCTCTACTACTATACGTACGCTCTAGAATATCTAGCTAGATAAGTTAATTACGAGTAATATAGTCTCTATAAGCTATAAGAATAAGAGTAATAAGTAGAGTAGGTTAGGTTAAATTTAGCTATCTAAAAATAAGAAGTAAAAGAATACTTTAAGAGACTCTATATATAGAGATACTAAGCGCTAAGATACTAGACTAGATTATATAATAAGATTACGTAACCTAAAGTTATATAACTTAAGGTAAATTTCTAAACTAGACTATTATATTACTCTCTTTTATAGAGAAAGCTTATCTCTAAGCTCTAAAATACGCCTCTTTAGTCTCTCTTTTTCTAAAACTCTTATATTATACTTATAAGAGCTAGGTTTATAGTCTCTACTACTATAAGCGTTCTAAAACACCTAGCTAGATAAGTTAGCTATAGGTAGTACTATCTTTATAAGCTATAAGAATAGAGTACTAGTAGAGTAGATTAGGTTAAATTTAGCTATCTAAAGATAAGAAGTAGAAGACTACTTTAAGAGGCTCTATATATAGAGGTGCTAAGTACTAAAGCGCTAGACTAGGTTATGTAATAAGATTACGTAACCTAAGGTTATATAACCTAAGATAAATTCTAAACTAGACTATTATATTACCTTCTCTTATAGAGAGAGCTTATCTCTAAGCTCTAGAATACGCCTTCTAGGTTCTTCTTCTTCTAAAACTCTCGCGTTATACTCTTAACTGTAATAGTCTAGTTTAAGATTTACCTTAGGTTATATAACCTTAAGTTACGTAATCCTATTACGTAACCTAGCCTAGCGCCTTAGCGCTTAGCACCTCTATATATAGAGAGCTCTTAGAGTATTCTTCTACTTCTTACCTTTAGATAGCTAAATTTAACCTAACCTACTCTGCTAGCACCTCTTATTCTTATAGCTTATAGAGACAGTACTGCCTATAGCTAACTTACCTAGCTAGGTGTTCTAGAGACGCTTATAGTAGTAGAGACTATAGACCTAGCCCTTATATTATCTAAAGGTTAATACCCCTTTAGCTAGAGACAGTAGCATAATATCTAGCTAAACTAAGTAGCCTTATTAAGAAGCGTTTACTAATAGCTATACTAAGAATTAGAGCTACAAGAGCCTAGTTACTTACTCTAAGAATCTATTAACGTACTAATTAATTACTTGTCTCTTTAGTACTATATAAGACTACTAGCAGATCTAGTTAGTAGTAGAAAGATACTAGCACTAAGCTAAAGAGAGCTATTAAGAGCTCTATGTATAGAAGAACTTCTACAGAACTTCTACGTGTAAAAACCTTCCCCTCTCTTTTACAAATTATAAAAAATTAACAATTCTCTACTCTGCTAGCAGAGCTAACAATCTCTTTACCCTGCTAGCAGAACTAACAAACTACTACTCTGCTAGTAGCTAAATACCTTCTCTTTTTGCTTCTTTTGCAATTAAAAAGCTAAACAAATCTAAACACTATAGGAGAACCCTTACGAAGCTAATTTAGAGGTAGAACCTTAGCTCTATAATACCTCTTTACTCTAATAGTTCTTAAATCTAGAGTAGTAAACCTGCTAGCAGAATATACTAATTAATATTTCTATTATAAAAACTCTGTTTAGCAACACAACGTAATAACTAATAAGAATTAGAACAATAACTTTAACTAGAAGCTTGTAAGGCTCTACTAGAGCTTAGTAATACTAGAGCTATTATTAGCCTTAAGTTTATTTATACTCTCTACCTCTGCTAAAGAGCTTTAAGAGCTTTTTCTAGAAACGCTAGCTAAAATTATTAATAAAATAGTTAGCTAATTATATATATAATAGGTATATAAATAATAAATCTATATATATTACTAGATTACTACTAACGCTCTAGCTAAAGAAGATAACGTATACGTAAAAAATCTAGTATAGGCTACTATTCTAGCTAAAAAAGACGCTAAAATCTAGTAACTATAGGCGTAATTAACCTACTCTAGAGGCTAGCTAGCTACGCTAGTTTAACGCGCGACGTGTTTCTCTATAACACTAATTATACGTAATTTAAGCGCGTTACTACTAGAGAATTTAATCTTAGGTTCTTACCTCTCTATATACTAGCTAGCTATACCTCTAGCGTTATAAGCGTAGAAGAGCTAATTAACGTACTCTGCTAAGTTTCTAGATCTACTATTACTATTAGATAGTAAGAGCGTTATCTTTAAGTAGTAGAGAGATAGCTTATATAATAAACTTTAAGTAAACTAGAATTAGTATACTAGAGATATACTAGAGAATACTAAGAAAACTATTATTACCTATATCTATATATAAACTAAAGAAGACACGTACTAGACTCTATTAGTAATACTACAAACAATTAAAAATAGTAGCGTAGTAGTTTTCTATAATTATATTCTTAATTAGCTAGAGAGAAGCTATAGAGACCTATATAAGAGGCTAAACGCTTACTATAATTTCTAAAAGCTTTATTGCTAAAGCGCTACTAATTTCGCCTACTTCTAGAATAATTTCTTCTGCCTTATATAGAAGCGTTAGCTTCTAGTAGATTAATAGGTAGAGAAATTTTATAAGAAGCTACTAGAGACTATACACACGTAGTTAGGCATATACTAATATTAATACGTTAATAACTATAATTACTATATAGATCTTACTTAAGATCTTACTTAAGAGCTTACTCTAGAAGAAGCACGTGTTACTACTAGAAAGGCTAAAAAGCGTAACGTAATTACGTTAATGCTATAACGCGCGCCTCTAGCTCTTCTAGGTTTTCTAGTACCTAATAAAGCTCTAGTAACCTAAAAGCTAGTTACCTATTTTTAATACTACTAACCTAGCTACCTAAGCTATAATTACTCTAGAGCTTCTACTACGCAGAAAGCTATTAAGAACGTTAACCTAGAGAAGAAGTCTATAGAGCTCGCAGAGCTATAAGTATCTAAGAATAACACGTTAGAATATAAATCTAACAATTTAGAAAAAGTCTAGCTCTAGAAGAAGTCTTCTCTCTAGAGCTACCTACTAGAGTAATAAACCTGCGTAAAAAGCTATTTAGTAGTTCTACGTTTACTCTACTCTACTAAATATCTATAAATAGCCTTACAATTAAGCTTAGAGGCTTAATTAATATAAAAGTAGATAGCTACATCTTAGTACACCTAAAGTACCTTTAAACTCTTAGAAAAAACCTCTACGTTAAGCTATCGCGTATAAAACTAATCCCTCTTACTAGGTATAATAGGCGACCTAATAGCTAAGTAAATAAGTATTTTAAAGCTAATCTAGTACTAGAGAGCTACTAAATTCGTACTTACTTTGCGTGTTATAATACTAGCTACTATAACGTAATAATTAGTTATAAGTTACTTAAAGAAGTTAACATTTAGGTTAACTACAAGCAACGCGCACTAATATAGCTAGACACTAATTAATTAATTAATTGTAAACGCAACGCGTTTGTCTCTATATAATTCTCTTAATCTAATACTAAAGCTTAAGTAGCTTACTAAGCTAATGCTAATTACTATAACGCTTTAATATTAGTAGTAGAAAAGCTAAGAGTAATATAATAAGAGAAAAGAGAATTGTAACGCTAGAAGCTTTAAGAAAACCTGCGCAAGATAGACAGGTAGCTTAAGAATTCTAACCTGCCTGCTAGGTTACCTCGCAAGCTAAAAAAGCTACCTGTTTTGCGGGAAACTTACTTAAAGACTAGACTTAACGTTAATATAATTAGCGTAGCTACCTTTATAATTAACGCGCGTTAAAAAGATACTATAATTAGGCACCTTAGTGTCTATAAGGTTAATTAGCTTATTGCTAATAGAAAGAAAACCCTAGTTGCTAATCTAGAGAAGAAACTCTACTAACTAGTTGCTAAAAAGCTTCTATCTCTAGAATATGCTAGCGCAACTATAGCCTATTTTTTAAAAAAGAATTCTAATACTCTACTATTATATAGAGAGAGTATAGATTACAATATTAAGCTTATAGTAGAAAATACCTTAATAAATAGTCCTCTTTATAGTATATTACTAGAGCACCTATAGTTAGTACGTAATTACCTAGAGAACTACCTTTATTATAGCTTTATTATCTATAGTAATATATTATACGCGTTACTA